AAAGAGTCATGAGCTGGGGCCACCTTGCCCAGGTCAGGAGAACCGATTCTGAGAATCTCCCTAACTCCTTGTTCAGTAAAATTGTGTGGTAGCTTGAAACTGGCATAGTAATTAAATAAATGGGTAAATACTCCCAAAGAGAAAAAAAAATACATGTTATAATTAATAATAAATATATACATATTATTAAATATGTGCATAATATATACATATATTATAATGTAAATGTAATGTAAATATACAATGCATGTTATTAAATGTATATTTAAATCAAAGGTTCATTTTTATACATATAAATAAATAAATAAATGTGTGTGTGTATGTATGAGGATTTAAGAAAGAGAAGATAAGATATCAAAGTGGAGGCAGGTATTCCTTATGGTAGGAAAAGGAATTTTTGAACTCAGGAAAATATTCAGGATTGATTCATCTTGCTAACAGCCAAGTACCTCATCCACCAAGAGCCGTACCTGGCCAGCTCTCCAACAATTTAGGAAAAAGAAATCTAAGGGGCAGAAGAAAAGCTTAGCACCTGGCGAGAAAGTGGCATCCTGTCAATCAAGGCTCACACTCTCCTGCTCTAGAAATTGCCCCATGGTGAGAAAAACAAAATAGGAAGAAAACTGACTTTCCTTTCAAAATAGAAAATGAAAATATTTTAAATGAGATTAGCATAAGTAAGAGAATATGCCCTGCAATGTGAAATGCTGAAATGAGAAACCACCCAGATACTCTTTTAATCCAGGAGCCATCAGGAATTTACTGGCTCAGCTGCAATAATGGGAAGTTCACAGGTTTTCCACCTTCATCATCTCCTTCTCCCCGTCTAGCTTCCCATCCAGCTGTTTTTAATAATTAGAAGAAAATGTGACCAACTTTCAAAGACATCAACTCAGGTACACTCAGGATTGGAGAAGTGTGGTACAGCCTGGCAGTGGTCCCCAGAGGAGAGTCATTCCCTCCAGAGTACGTGGTCCTCGGATGGCCGTTGAGGGGGAAAAATTATAAAAAGCATTTAGCGGGTGTGAGGACTTGGGCGTGGGTCTGGGATCTCGTGGTAACTCTCAGTGGTATCTTAAACAAGGCACTTTCAATTCACTGGCTGTTTTCCTTAACTTGCAATAAAATCATCAGGTTAGAATAGATAGTTGTATTCTTTATTATCCAAGGATACTTATCAGAATGCTTTACCAAATAAATGTTCTTTAATACATTTTAAAATTTAACTCAACACATTCTTGTCATGCCTACTATTTACTGGGAGCTGTGCTAGGTGGGTGGTGGCCCCTGGCAGTGACTAGGACAGGCATGGTCCTTCAGGGAACTCACAGCTGAGAACCTGAAGAGGAAGTGATCTTGTAAACCAGAGCTCACGGGCAAACCTTTTGAGTAAAGGGTCAGATAGAAAATACTTTTGGCTTTGCAAGATGTATGGTCTCTGTCACAGCTACTCAACTCTGCTGTTACAGCACAAAACCAGCCACAGGCAGTATGTAAACAAATGGGCATGGCTATGTTTCAATAAAGCTTTATTTACAAAAGCAAACAGATATGGCCCACAGACTGTAGTCTGTAGACCCCTGCTAGACTTCAGAAGTGTTTTGCTTAATAAAAGGAAACAGATCCAGAAAACACAATTCTGACTTCAGAAACAGAGATGGATTTGGGGAGAGAACTATATGGCCAATAGAGTATCTTCCTAGGTTAAATAATAAGATTGCCATCAACTGAAGATGAGATGCAATAAAGTCATAAATTACCCTGAGCAATAATACTGCCCTTGCTTATGATCTAAATTGGATTTGATGTCTCATTTGAGAAGAGTTCTCCAGTGATTGCAAGCAGTTTAGATATATGAAATTACACCTAATGAAAACACAGACAGGAGATGAGCAAACATGGTGAGTCATTCATGCTCAACCCAAAGCTGAGCATGGCTGCAAATTATCCTTGTAAGTGTATAGGCTCCCTCTGAGAAAGGGGACCTCATATGGTCTAAAACTATCTTAAAAGCACCGAGCATCGTGTTCTTCAAGACTTAAAAATGCGAATGTTTTCTGCTTCCTCATGTCATTTTCAGCAGAGTTAAGTATATAAGAGAAAGTAAGAAATTCAGGCCTCTAGCAAATTCAGACGAAGTCTAATACTGCCCGGAGCCTCACAAGCAGAGATTCGGTCCTTTGATCTGCACTCTTCTGGCGCATCTACACAGACCCAGATATAAGGCAATTACCCCTGGGAGACAGATATACTGTTTTTGATCTATTATTTCATACTTGGGTGAATACTCTCTAGAACTTCTCTAGATTGTACCGGGGGACGAAAAAGAATATTACTTGGCCTCTAGCTCAGTGGTTGAATGGTAGGATGGGTGGGAGCACATGTGTGGGTCCAATCCTGGTAACAGATTAGGCTTTTACAAACCACATAGTTTCCCCTCCTCCCACCAGTACTCCACATTCATGAAATATCAGAATAGGAGGTGCCGGGAGGGACACAGATTGAGAAACCCCAGAGGTGATTTTGATAGGATTAGCCATCTGTACCCCTGCCTCCTGTGAGATCCATGGTTACAGCTTACTCCAAAACGAGCTAGTCCTGGCAGAAGTCTTTTGGAGACTGATACTTAATTTTAAAGTATGGCCAGTTCTTCCAAGTCCCTAAAATTATTAGAGATGCACTGCAATCTGTGAACTCATATGTTAAACTGGGATCTAAATGAAACATAATTACAAGGCAATGATTTGCTTCATGAAAACCATGTGTGGTCATAGTTAAGGCACTTCCAATACATTAAAGTTTCATTAAGCTATCACTGCCAAAAATAATGCTTTTCCACTTCCTGAACTAATTTCTAATCAAAAACGAGGTGTTGGGACTTCCCTGGTGGTCCTGTGGTTAAGATTTCACCTTCCAATGCAGGGGGTGCAGGTTTGATCCCCGGTCAGGGAGCTAAGATCCCACATGCCTCACGGCCAAAAAAACCAAAACATAAAACAGAAGCAATATTGTAACAAATTCAATAAAGACTTTAAAATCAAAAGAATCTTTTTAAAAAAACTAGGTGTTTTCAGAAACACAGCATGGAATTTCCATTGGTAAACTGAGTTATAACATTTTCATCAGAATTTTTAGAATAACTGCATAATAATATGTGAAATAAAACTGTGTTATCATTTACGGTGTTATCCTTTATGGGTTGGGGCAGAAGGGAAGAGGTGCTTAGAAAGGAGAAAGAAAAGACTTGTGCATTTTGATTAATCAGAAAAACTATTAGCTAGAATTAACACAATTGGGAGTGCAAATTCAGATAAAAGGTGGTTTTGTTTTGTTTTTTGCTGTAGTTGTTTTGTTTTTAAACACCTATTGTTGATTTGGTAAAGCACCAAAAAAAATTCTGGAGTATGTCTTAGGATTATCATACAGTCAGCTAAACCTCATGTAGTTTTCTACACAAGATTTCACATGCAGAAAAAGGACCCTGACATCCTCAGGAACGTAATTCATTTTACTCACTAAGACAGGAGAATAGAATCTTAGATAGATTTTCAACAAAAACACTGAAACAAAGCAAGAGCTTTTGATTATCAGTTAACCCTACATTTAGTTAACCACCATTCGCCTTTTCCTGAGACACTTATATGGGATCAGTTGTGATCAGATGAGCACAGCCTACAGGAGAGGTCATATTTTGTGTTCCTCCTGGAGAAATTGAAGCTCCCATTCATACATAGGTTTGGCCTGGTCATCCCAGGGTTGGGTTGAGCAAGTGACAAAGATAATAGCACCTTGGGTTCATACACACCTGGAAGAATTTCATCCCACCAGATGTTCACATAATCATCCCGGTCCGTCCTTGACTGCTCATGGTAGAACCCCAGAGCATGCAGGATCTCATGTTCAATGATGGCCTTATAGTCGCATCCCAGGCCAATGGAAAGGTTTTGTCCTACGTGTTGGTCGCCAACCTGAGACCAGCACCTTTAAAGAGGAGAAAGAAATTTTCTTCTAGAGAATTCTTAAGCAGCTGTAATTCATAGGATTCCAAAACACAAATTAGGTTAGGTTTGAAGAAATTTAGGTTTGATTTCAAAAAGAAACTATTAATAGCATTCTCATCAACATACGGCACTGGTGAAAAAAGCAACATTCCCTGGAGAGAATATTATGCAGGCTTTAAAAGTGATTGATAGGCCATTATAAAAGTATGTCTACATACTCAGAGGCAAATCAATCCCAATAATGCATCAGGTAAAAAGAAGTAAAAATTGGCATTTTTCTTCACCTTCACAAACCCATGGGGCATTCCAAAGAACAACACTATTGCTTTTATACCACAAAGCTGTCTCTGAGCAGTGGCTGTGGTTGATTTATGTCTTCTCCTTTACATTTTCATGACTTTTCAAATTTCCTATAATGAGCAGGCATATATTATATGATCATAAAAAAGAACCTCATTAAAAATGCAAGTTAATCAAGTTGATTTCTTGGGGTATTACCCAATCTGCAGCATTATGACAACACACAGCAGGTGGCCTAACTTATGTCTGAAGGGCTCCAGGCAAGAAGGACCCATAAATTCCCTCAGAAAATAGTGGACTCAGGAACTGCCAGCAGATACTCTAAATTCCTCGTGTGCAGCCTCTTCCCCTCTTTTTCCCAATTATTTTTGTCTTTTCTCGTAAATCTGATCTTCCACCTCAACAAGGATCTATACCTTAACCAACGCTCAACAGAATAAGAGATCTGACAATAGTTTAAATGCTACCAGTGAATTGTGAGTTCCTTGGTGACAATCACATTAAATTACCTGCCACTGGTTTTCCCAAGATTGCTAAAATCATATAAGTTCAAATGCTAATAGGCTGGATTTCTCCTCAAAGATAGACCTTAGTTATTTTCTAACAACTTTATTAAGGTCTAATTTACATACCATAAAATTCACCAATCTTAAGTGTACAATTCAATGATCTTTACTTAATGTACTGAGCTGTGCAAACATCACCATTATCACCTTGCCTGCTGGTAGCATTTTATTACCAATTCAGAGTTTACTCTGCAAAATATCCACAATCCAGAGGAAGCATTTATTATTTGTCTTTTTTTAACATCCCTCCCCAAAGGAAAGGTGTAAGTTGCAAAATACCGTAACTCCACCACTCTGTAAATCTTTGACCTTGTCCTTCTGAAAGAGTCCAGTTAACCTCCAGCTTCAGAGGACCAGGATCCTGAAGGGTTTGGGGCACTTTGGGCCAGCCCCTTTCCTGGAGCCTCTTCCTCCCTTTTCCTCTCCCCTAACTTAAGTGTAATAGAGACATCTCCCAACCACAGGCAGTAAGAGTCCCCCACATTCGGGTTTTCCCTCTCTTTCCACCTCCCATTTGTCCTTCCCTTTCCTCTGCCTCTACATCCTTCTTTCTTCATCTCTCTGACACTCAACTTGGCTCTGCCTGAATCTTCACTTCACACTACGTCCTGCTTCTGCGGTCACCATAGCATACTAGAACTATTCACTTGTTATCACTCCACCACCACTACTTGCCAAACTTACACCTTTTGAGGTCTAAGACTCTTCTCGAGAAGCTAAAGCCTGTGCTAACTTCCTGCTTTACGTCTGTTACCCATCCATGATTAACAAAATCCCCACCTTCAGAACTAGACAACGAAATCCAGGCAACACCTAGAGGCCACGTTGGGAACTGCAGTGTGAAGAGATACCTCCAGCTGGGTCTTGAAGACACAGACCTACAGAGTCACGGCAGATGGTGGATTTGCTTCCCAACTTCATCTAGCTCAGACTGGTTGACACACACACCGCTGAAGACAAAGGTCTTCTTTCTTGATATACCATTTATTTCTTCTTAGAAATAAGTAACTCTGAAAAGCAAATCTACATCTAGAACTTTTCAAAGAGGTCCAGCCATCAGAGTACTATAATTTAAAACAGAGCCATCAAAAGGATGCATTTTATACTTTAATAAACCTGAATTAAAAAAAAAAAAAAGGACTGTAATTTAAAGCATAACCTCAACCCAGGAAAAGAACTGAGATGAGTCTCCCTGGTTCCCCGAGGTATCCAAACAATTCATTCTCTGCAGAGCTCATTAAAAATGTGATGCCACTTTAAAAAATTCACAGTGAAAGATTTGATTTTGCTTTTAGTTTCTTTCCAATTTCTTCTTTTAGCCTTTGAAAGAGATGTGTCACTTTTTATAATCAAAGGACGTGTGATTTTCACACTCTGTAAAATTTCATACTAACCCATCAAAACTCTGAAAGATGATGTATGAGCTCTCTCCTTCATAGGGCTTGAAATCCACACAGGACTTGAGGCGGAACATTTCAAAGGCATAGAGAATAGCTCCTTTGGCATTCAGTGCTGCAGAAATCAATAAAAATATCAATGAGCCTTAGCTAGCTCTTGAATAATATATATAACCTATAAACATAGAAAATCATGCCACCACATGAAATCCACTGGGGTCCATGACAGATTTTTTTTTTTTATAGTAAATAGATTCCTTGAAAACTAAAACTGACAAATTATTTGTGGATATAAACACTAAGTGCATATGTTAAATACATAATATATATATATCTACAAAATAAGAATACACTTACGTATGTGTGGCTGAACAAAATCATAACTTCCCCACTTTCTCCCTTTCCTTATCCCCCATCTAAGCAGAAGCTCTGAGTACCTTCCTTCAGGAGAGCCACATGGCAGAGCACAAGACACTGTGATTCAAGCCACTTCTGTCTTCTGGATAAAGTACTTTGGAGAGCATTGAGAAAGGGATTCCTTCCCCCAATCTAAAAAGTCACACCCTCTTGCTAGAGGAAGAGAGCAGAGCTTACAGAGGTTTATGGCTCCTGAAAGCATAAGAAGTATGTGTAGTATTTATGCTGCTTCCCTGTAGGATCCCCAATAGATGGCAAGCCTAGATAGGCAGCTCTGCAGGCAGCCTTAGAAAAGATTTCTGTAACCCAAGTTTGGAACCAAAGCAGCAGAAGCCTTATGGACCTATAGATGCCTATTAGTAACCTTTGTGGATCAATGACCAAAGATCAAATATCATTCCTTTTGCCTAATCTGCACGTGTACATACCTTGGTATTGCATAAGACAAGGATGGGTGGGGGAGAAAGATACTCCAAAGGAAAGGAGATTGTTTCTTACCGTGTGTGTGTGTGTGTGTGTGTGTGTGTGTGTGTGTGTGTGTGGTTTTTAATCCCATCAACTTGTTGGAGGTAGGTCTCTAAGTTACAACTTAAGCTAAGTTCTATAAAATTAAATTATATTCTTGCACATTTGATTTTCAGCATTCTCTCAAAGAGTTTATAATTCTTGGCAGTTTACCACATACTTATCTCATATTTTTCTGGCCCTTATTTAATAAACTACTGAGTTGGAGACTCTACCACTCAGATGTCATAAAATCATATTAAGGTCATTAAAGAAAGTCATTGGAATAATTAGTAAATTAGTTGTGGAAACAGCACACACAACAACAGCAAGATCATATGCATTAAAACTATTGGACAAAATGTTCACGGACTTTTACCTATTCCTACTGAGAAACATCTATAATTTGAAGATATGTACCTAAGACAGCTTGGTTGTTACAAAAGTATAAGGAAAAAAGTTTGATTATAATGAAAGTCACACTTTCTATAATATTGTGTTGCTTTTGTTATCTTCAGGCCAAATAGTGGAAACACTGAGAGTGGTTGATTTAAAAATCACATCTCTTCTGCCTTCCCTACATCTGAGTAGGCTGTGAAAGGGGAATTAAGCAACTCTGTAATAATTTTGTAAAAACGGTCCTGACATCATTCAAAAGAAAAAAATGGAAATAAAGCCCACTTGACGTCTCCTTGTTCACCACAAAGCCAGCCCTGAGTGCACGTCCTCTGAAAACCACACTTGATGTTTTGTGTGTTGTCTTTACGTAGGTGGTTTCCTCTCCTTAGGACACTGTTAACTCCTTGAGAGAAAGGACCTTATCTTTTGCCTCATTGTTTCCTAGTTCCCAGTTCTTTACTCTGCTCTGACATGGTAGGTTTTACATGGATCTGTCTTGAACAATCACGTTAGTTTTGAAAACCACTAGTCCTTTTTATCCCTGGATCAAATAGTATGAGAAGAGTTCATTTCAGATACCAATGACTACATATTGGAGGATTGGCATAGGAAAGCTAACTATATTTGGTTTAAGAATCCTTTGAGAGGGGAAAAGTGGGGGGAAGGAATAAATTAGGAATTTGGGAGTAACATATACACACTACTGTAAATAAAAATAGATAAACAACAAGGACCTACTGTATAGAACAGGGAAATATACTCAATATTTTGTAATAACCTATATGGGAAAAGGATCTGAAAAAGATTCTTTTCACATATATATATAAAATGAAATTGCTTTTCTGTACAACTGAAACTAACACAAATCAAATATACTTCCATAAAAATAAATAAATTTTTTTAAAAAAGAATCCTTTGAGAGAGTTTTTCATTCTGATAATAGGAGAGGAATTTGAATCTGACTAACCCTCCTACAGTTAACGATTATTAAATTTAGGAAAAATTAAGAAAGGAAACTCTTTGAAAGGAAACTCTTTAGGCACTGGAAAATGCCTAAAATGGGCAGAAACTGAAGGAGGGTTTATCTTGAAAGAAGGAAATGTCATTGGTTAAGATTCCCATTGATACAACTTTGTACATGAGAGCACGGCTTAATATAAATATTTATAAATATACATATATAAATATTTGAACAACACCAACAATCACCTTGACCTATTTGACACTGATAGGCTAATATGACCTAAAACTGTAGAATACAGGTTCTTTTCAAGTGCACATGAAATATCACCAAGCTAGATCATAAAGTAGATCACAAAACATATCTCAGGAAATTTCAAAAGACTGAAATCTTAGGGAACTGGTTCTCTGACCTCAAAAAAATAAACTTGAAATCAATAATAGAATATCTAGAAAAATTACAAATATTTGGAAAATTTTAAACAGACTTTTAATTGACCCATGGTTTTTAAAAATCACAACTGAAATTAGAAAATATCTAAACTAAATTTGAATAAAGATACAACATATCAAAATATGAGGAAAGTAGTAAAAACAGTGCTTCAAATAAAATTTATAGCTTTAGATGTCATACTATAGCATTGTATTTTATTAGGAAAATGAAGACTTAAAAATATGATACAAATTTCCACTTTAAATGTAAAAAAGAAAGGGTAAATTAAACCTGAAAAAAAGTAGAAGAAAGGAAATCATAAAGACAAGAGCAGAAAGCCAGAAAATAAAGAGTAGAGAAGCAAGAGAAAATTAACAAGTCAAAAGTTGGTTCTTTGAAAGGATTAAGAAAATCAATACACTGCTTTTAAAAAAGAAGGCAAGTCACAGACTGGGAGAAAATATTCATCATATATACCTGACATAATTTATCTATAATATATAAAGTTCTGCAAATAATGAAAAGACCAACAATATAATTTTAAAAATCATGAAAGAGTTGGACATTCATAAAAGAAGATACGTAAATAGTCAATAGGGAATGAAAATGTGCTAAATATTATTAGTCATTAGGGATACTCAACTTAAAATCACAGTGAGATACCATTTCACAACCACTAGAACGGCAACAATTAAAAAGATTAACTCCACCTATGTTAGTGATAAGGTGGACCAAATGGGACACAGACATTGCTGGTGAGAATGAAAAATGCCACAGCCAATTTGAAAGATTGTTTGGCATTATCCTATAAAGTTAAACATATATTTACCATAGGATCAAGCAATGCTATTCCTAGACATTTACCCAAGATAAATAAAAAACACATATCCACGCAGACTTGTACAAGAATGATCACAGCAGCTTTCTTCACAATAGACTCCAAACTTGAAACAGCCCCACATCCATCAACAGAAAAATGGATAAACAGTTGCAATATATTCAGACAAAGGAATACTAATGAGTAATGAAAAAGAATTAAATACTGGCCCACCATAATACAGAAACATTTAAACATGGTAAGCAAAATAAGCCAGATACAAACGAGGACATACTATGAGATTCCAGTTATCTGCAAATCAGTTGTAAATCAGGTAAAACTAATCTACAGGGGAAAAAATTAGAATGGTGTTGTCTCTTGGGGAGTGGAGGTGGGGATTGGCTGGAAAAGAGCACAGGGGAACTTTCTAGAGTATTGGAAGTGTGGGTTGCATAAGTATGCATTTCTCAAAAGCCTGGATTTTGTATTTCACCCTACGTAAATTTAACTTTAATAAAGGAATTTATACAAATGTCAAACTCTAATTAGAATGTTTTGCTTTTCGCAATGGTACGAGCCCAGGCACCTGAACTCCTTCTTTAACTTGAAGGTGATTCTCATGGGATGCTACTTGAGAGCCACCACTCTATCCTCACAGCTGCTATCTTATTTCAGGCCACCTGTGTGACCAGGGGACACACCTTGAGTAGCTGAATCCGGCACGTAAGAGATTCAGTAAGTATGTCTTTGTCTTAATGGGAAGGTGGTGGCACAGGTGAGACAAATAGAAAGAAAAATCGTCATGGGGAAGAAAATCCATTTTAAAATTAATGTTTCTTATATCATGTCCCAGTAAATAGGGATGCTCCGTGAATTTCCAAGTGCGCTGTCAAACACTGGGGAAAAACAACTCATCTCAATTTTCCATAAAATAACTGAGAAAAACAGCACTTGTTACTATGTAGCTTTTCTCCAGAAAAGGCATGGGAGGCAGCACTGATAAAGAGTGATGGAAAATTCTTGAAACATAATCTATGTCTCCTGAGAAGGGGAGCAGCGCAGCAGCTCATTAAGACTGAGCAACATTGTCGTAGCTTCCCCTCTCCTGTTGCATCTTCCCCATCCACAGAGGATGGGCCTCCCAGACAGGCACTGCATCATGGTGGCTGCTGAGCTGTCAGTCAGCTGCTTGATGTCGACCAGTGTCCACGCGTGGCTTCTAATATTTACTTATTTCCACCAATTACTATTTTCAACAATGAACAAAATGCAACTGATTTCAGTCCTTTATATTAAGAGAGAGAAAAGAATAGAAAATTTTAATACAGAGGAACAAGGACAATGAACATATGAAATATAGTCTTTTCTATTTCTCAAAAGCGTGACGTGTTTGTCTTGCAACAGAAAGGGAAGAAATCAACATGTTGAAACTAGTATCCTGGTACCATATTTAGATTCACCTAAACAAACTGTTATTGCAAGTGCACATTTTTCATTGCTATGATGTCAAATTATATTTCATTTTTGTTCTGTGTGTTGCTCCCTGTCTGATTAACATGTTAGTGTGTTTTGCATTTTAAAAATCATTATTTGATACTCTGTATCTCAGACTGGTTAAGCAGCATGGGTTCAGATGTAATGTCGTGCCTCTCATACCGTGAGGTAAAGAACTGTCAGAGCTTAGAAACCCTCGTATACGTTGGCAGTTACCCCAAGTCTGAAGCTGATGATCAGGAGGAGAGGCGAGAGAGAAGAATTCAACTCAAAACTCCTAATGAAGAACAATCAATATTACCCAGATTGTCAGCCAGGATGTAAGGGATGGGGAACTTCCACCTGGCGCTGGGGTCTCTCAGGCCATTTCTGGAATTCTGCAGAAACAAAGGCAAAGGTGGCTGGACAGCTGGTCTCCTTGGCTTCCCCCTTCTCTAAACTCTCACACCACAAACAATCTGTCACACAATTCAAACAGTTTAGTCAATTTATCTTCTGATTATATTGTAAAAACAATAGAAGTTCATTATAGACATTTTAGAAAATTCCAGAGAAATTTTTAAGAACCAAATAAAGGTGACCTACAATTTCTCAAAACGAAATAGCCACTTTCAATATGGTGGTGGATTTCCTTCTCTCTCATGCTTCACTTATTAGGAAAATTGGATGGACAAGCAATTTAATAATTATAGACTCTTTTGTACTGTTCGTTAATGTTTTTGTCTGTTTTTGTTTACCAGCAACCACAGTGGAAGTCTTTGTGGGTACAGATTATAGATGAGATTCTTTCATCTCAGTGGCTGGACACAGAGCAGAAGCTCACCATCCTATGACACAGCCAGCCCTGGGGGGAATGTTATTGTGCTCCTAGCAGGTACTCACCTGTAGAAAAATGTCCCCCTGAAAGAGGTCCAAGCCTGCAGCTAGACATGGATTTTAAAAAAAGAAACATTTGAATGAGAATTACTAAAAGGGATCTCTCAAAATAAAATGAATCTTTTCTATTGTTAAGTCTTTAGTTGTTAATCTTTATGTGGTGAAACTCTTTTGAAACAATGCAAAAATTTCTTCTAAGTGAACAAATGTAAATAGCCAATAAATATCAGATATTGTCACATTCTCTATTGTCATTTTTGGAACAAGAAACCTAGAGGGCATTATGCTTAGTGAAATAAGTCAGACAGAGAAAGACAAGTACCCTATGCTATCACTTATATGTGGAATCTAAAACATCAAACAGACAAGTGAATATAACAAAACAGAAATAGATATAAAGAACAAACTAGTGGTTACCAGTGGCAATAGGGAAGGGGGTTGGGAAGGGCAAGATAGGGGTAGACGATTAAGAGGTACAAACTACTATGTATAAAATAAATAAACTACTAGGACCTATTATACAGCACAGAGAATATAGTCAATATTTTGTAATAACTGTAAATGGAGTATATCTTTGAAGATATTGAATCACTGTTGTACACCTGAAACTAATATTATGGTGTGAATCAACTATATTTCACTATAAAAAAAGGAAAGAAATCTTGTCCAAGAATCTTAAAAGTAAGAGACAAGTTAGAAGGAATCTTTTGGGTCATTGACTTCATTGACTTCAAAACTCTCACACTTTGGGGGTCAAAATGGGACTTCCTGAGACAGGAAATGAGGTACCAGGTGGTCAGCAGCTGAGTGAGCTATAGAATTTCCCACTTCCCGTCCAGGGTCCTTTCTGCTATTGTACTAACCTGCTTCCCCACCCTAGCTAAATGGGTTGATTTTGCTCTTCCCCATGAAAAAACAATGGTGCCCTCCAAAGCCAAGCTCAGGGCGCTGCCCTGATAATAAAGAAGACCTGGCAAATATGGGTAGATCCATTCAAAACCATGGCTCCAAACGTCTGCTGTCAGGACCTTAGCAGAATAGACTTTCTCCCTGACGGCATTGGCCTCAGAGTGTTTCTGAAAGTAAGATCCTTAAAAGGGAAGATCCTGGTGGGAAAACTAAGGGCGTTTAAAAGAATGTCACTTCTTATTACAGCCCTAAAGTTTGACAAGCAGGCTTCCCTTGAAAACACAGGCTACTTCAGACAGAATCATCAGATCATGCTTCATTCTGAGAACAGCCCCTGATTTACAGCTGGAAAATCAAGCTACAGGATAATCACCACAACCTCACATGGAAACAGGGGTCTCATTTGGCAACGCTTACAGCTCATTCAGGAGCTGGGTTCAGGCTCTGTAACGACACCGTGGAGGTGTGATTATGATGAGCCTTCCTGGTTGTGCTTGCTAATGACTAGCTAAGGCTGTCCCCGAATCACTCCCTTCCTCATGCACATATTTCCTAGATTTGCTTAACCTCAGGACCCTAACCTAGTCATATAACAGCACAATTAAACAACAACAAACAGCAGTGATGCCACTGCCTCACAGGCAGCAGGACCCAGGTTTTGAATTGCCTTTTCAGTAGGGCTGCTATGGGCTGGTCCATCTATACACTTGCCTAGGCCGGTCCTGGGCAAAATTATGCATTTCTTGACCCCTGGCCTGGATGAGGGAAGGGCTCTTCCAGAGCAATGTGAAGAAGCCTACTGGGACCTTGGCCCCAAGGGCTGGTCAGCATGGATGGGGTCACAGAGGAGTGAGAGAGTGCAGTAGGAGAATTTCACCAAGAAGTACAGATCCATTGAAAGCAAGCCCCAGCCCGTTCACTACCCAATTTGTTCATGTAGCATATACTTATTAAGTGCTTCATGTGCCCTACGCCTTGTTCTAGATGCTGGGGATATAGTGGAGAACAAAACAAAGCACACGGGGAGATGACATTCTTGATTGGAGAGGAAGGGGATACAAATAAATAAATAAATGTAAAGTATGGCTGATGGTGAAAAGCATAATTGAAAAAAAAAACCCCATAAAACAGAGTAAGAGGGAAAAGAGTGCTGAGGTGAAGGAGGGTTGATATTCATAAATGGTGGCCAGGGAAGGCCTGCCTGAGGAGGTGGCATTTAAGCAGAAATCTAACGGAGTGGGGAGTGAAGGAAGGGGATTGAAGGCAGAGGAAACAGCAAATAGAAACATCCTAAGGCAGGAAAGCCTTGATTGTTTAGAGCAGCCTTAATAGGTGGGAAATAAATCTAATCTCATTGGTGTTGAATCCTCTGGGGGATTCTGATGCTAAAGTTTGAGAAGCACTCCTCTAAAACCTCAAGACTTTCCTGCCTCAGGACCTTTAAGATACAGCCGATCCTCTGAATTACAGACACCTTGACTGCCTGACTTTAAAGAGAGATCGCTTGATGCCTGGCCCTGAAGTCTTGAGACCCATTCACCCATTTACTTTCCTAAGTGATTTCTACTTTGCCCCTGCAATCATTCTCAAGGTTTTCCAACTAAATATCACCTAGACTGGCTTCCCTGTAAATGCGACAAAGCCAGAGGAATTTACCCCTAAGGTATGGGATTTTTTTAGTTTTACATTCTTCATATAGGACTGAGCTATTAAGCTATGAGTCAAAAGACCTGGAGGTGAGCTCTACCACTGCCATCTGTGATCTTGGGTGAGTCAGCTTGACCCAAAGGAGCCTCCTGTTCCTTCCTGCAAAATGAAAATAGCACTCACCCCATTACAGAAATTTTTTTTTTTTTTTTTTTGCGGTACGCGGGCCTCTCACTGTTGTGGCCTCTCCCGCTGCGGAGCACAGGCTCCGGACGCGCAGGCTCAGCGGCCATGGCTCACGGGCCCAGCCGCTCCGCGGCATGTGGGATCTTCCCGGACCGGGGCACGAACCTGTGTCCCCTGCATCGGCGGGCGGACTCTCAACCACTGCGCCTCCCATTACAGAATTTGACAAATAAATATGTAATTGGATATGAAAGCTTTTGTAAACTATAAGGTACTTATGATCATGAATATGGAACCTCTGTTTCCCACCAATTCTAACCAAAGATACCCAGGATGTCGCGGCTTCTCCCCCATTTTAGAGACAGGACGAGAGAGAAAAGAGAGACAATTACTTGGCATCTCTCGCCTCTCAGTAATGGATGAGACCAATGGATTTCTTCAAGGAATGCTTTTGTGAACAAGATGTCGTAACAGAGACACTACACTTTTCTCCAAGTCCCAAGCAAACAGTTGTTAGTGAATATGATGGGCCAGTAAAGGGACTGGGGTTTTTTCCCCACTAAATATAACCAAAGGCATATTCCTTACATTTTTCTTTAGCAAGCAAAATAATCATCCATTTTCCCTTCTTTTTTCTTTTTTTCAAAATGAAAACTGGAAGAACAAATTTTTTACCAACAAAAATCTTGTTACATATTTCCAGATCCGCTGAGCACTCACTAGTTCTAGAAAATTTGGTCTAATCATTATTCTCTTTCCACATTTCCATTTTCAGAAACTCTGCAAATTCTAATGAGGCACGAATGAACAGTTCTCTCCTAAAGTTACCCAATACCATACTATGAAGGTTAAGAGATTTTCAGCAATTCTATCACAGGATTTTAAATTATTTAAAGGCATTAATGATGGCAGAAATTACACCCACCTAAATTGATTTCTGAAATATCCTTCTGTTCATCAAACTCTCCATCATGTACTGTTAAAAGTGGGGGGAAAAATTGTTACCAGTCTTGCTGAACAAAAGAGAGAAAGTTCAGAAAACACTCTATACATTTCAATTAGTTCTTACCACTTCCTTCAGAAAGATGCTTAATCTGAAAAGAAATAAAGATACAGTAAATGGATAACATATACTACAATGAATATTTCTAAATACCATGAAGAGCAGAACCTACTTACCGATACAGCTGCTATGTGGGCAAAAAACAAGATGAAAGAGAGAATGCAAGCAGGTCTCGTCCAAACCATTTTTGCAAGTGAACAGATTTTAGCAAAGACACCTTGTGATAAGTACTTGGACCTTGCTCTGGCTGTCATATTAGAAACTTTGACCCTTACATATGTTCTGTAGCATTGAAGTCGTCAAAGGAAATGTCTTTGCCCCATTTGAGGACAGATACTAAGTTTAACAGAAAAGCTCAGGTTCCAGAGACCAGGGAAAAGTTTGAAAAAGTTAATATTGAGATAAGCATATAAAAATAAATGACATTCCTGTACACTAGCAATAACTGTTCACACAATATAGTAGGTAAAAGATCCATTTCACAATAGAAATAAAAATAATCTATAAAATGATCATAAATTACTTAAATCTAATAAAAATGAACTAGAGTTATATGTAAATGTTATAAAGCAATCAACAAAAAATAAAAGAGCTATCTATACACACATATACATATATATTTATATATATGAGATATTCATTGATGGGAAGACAGTATAATAAAGATGGTCATTATTTTGATATTAGTCTATATATTCAATGTTATTCTAATAAAAATCTTTTTTAAATTTTTAATTAAAGTATAGTTGATTTACAATGTCATGTTAGTTTCAAGTGTACAGCACAGTGATTCATTTACACACACACACACACACATATATATATATTTAGATTCTTTTCCAACATAGGTTATTACAAAATATTGAGTATAGACCCGATGCTATACAGTAGGTCCTTGTTTGTTATTTATTTTACATCTAGTGATGTGTATATGTAAATCCCAGCCTCCTAACTTTCCCTCCTTCCCCTTTCCCCTTTGGTAACTGTAAGTTTGTTTTCTATGTCTGTGAGTCTCTTTCTGTTTTGTAAATAAGTTCAATGTATCTTTTTTGTTTTAGATTCCACATATAAGCAATATCATACGATATTTATCTTTCTCTGTCTGGCTTATTTCACTTCGTATGATAATCTCCAGGTGCATCCATGTTGCTGCAAATAGCATTATTTCATTCCTTTTTATGGCTGAGTAATATTCCATTACACACACACACACACACACACACACACACACACCACATCTTCTTTATCCATTCATCTGTCGATGGATATTTAGGTTGCTTCCATCCAGATGAGCTTTTATCTTTCCCTTCCTTCTTAGTCTTATCTGCACAATATACTCTAATGGTGACTTTGGAATCTGATGGATAAGAAATAGAGTTCCACATCTACCACCAACCAGGTGTGGCATTTTGAGCATCCACTTTCCACGTGTAAAAAAAAAGAGTGGTACCTACTTCACGGGTCGAATGTATGGATTCAATGAGACAACAAGTGCAAACCACAGGTACCAGAAACATAGGAAGCACTCCGTAAACTATAGCTCTTTCTATCCACATGCACAGCCTCCTGGCAAAAGTCAGGCAGTAAGGACCTGCTTTGTTCAGTGGGACCTCTGAGTGGGAGCATAGGTCTTCAGCAGATACATTTGTCCCTGGTAAGTTTCTTTTTATGATATTGATTGGAGGTGTTAATTAGTTACCAGTTACCTGCAACCCCAGGCATTTCTTGCCCCAGGGCGTCAAGTGAGCAAGGCTGAAGCCTCAAGCCTTAGGTTTAAAGGGCTTATGGCTTTGCAGTTAAAAAATAGATTAGGCACTCCTCGGGGCAAGGTCCGTGTTTTATTTTCTGTATCTGCCCTGATGCCTGGCATATAGTAGACAATTGGTGATCGCATTGGGTGAAATACAGTAAAACAGCACTTTTCGAAGGTATTGGATGTAGTGATGTGTTTTGAGCTCAGTGAGGGCATTTTACAAATCGACCAGTTGGGAAAACAGAGTGAAGACTGGAAGAAGAAAGCCATCGGCAGGTGGAAAGAGGGAAAACCCTTCCCTATCAGACTCACTCCGGCCTCCTGAAGTCCAGGCCAGACTTGCTCGGGACTGAGGTAGGAGGCTGGCAGCGTCCTCTCACCCCAACCCCTTCTCAGGAGTGTCCTCTGCTTCCTCCACTTTCTACCCTCTTTCTAGATGCCTGTTCCTTCCGCTTCACACACAGAACTCTGCCCTCGGCTGTTAACCTCTAACACAACTGCCTTTGCTCTTCCTCCAGGCAATCAGCCTATTCACCTGGTCTCAAAGAAGAGGAAGTGTTGGCAAATTTTTTTCTGAAAAGGTCAAAGAATAAATATTTTAGGCTTTGCAGGCCAAGTGGTCTCTGTAGTGACTATTGAACTCTGCTGTTGCAGCTGGAAAGCAGACACAGACATTAGCGTAAAGGAATGAGCCTGGCTGCAACCCAATAAAACTTTATTGACAAAAACAGGGAAAGGGGCATAACTTACTGACCCCTGAGTTTTAGAGAATTGACTGCACCCCGAAGATGGTGGAGATGGAGACGGTGATAACACTTATAAAAGAAGCAGCAGCTGACATGCGCACAGTTTTTACTGTGGGCTGGGTACCGTTCCAAGGATCTAAAGTGCAATTGCTCACTTAATCTTGACAATAATTCTATGAAGTAGGCAGTATGTATCCCATTTTATAGATTGTATAAATATAGATAAATATATTTATAAATAAATATCAACTGTATAGATTTATACAATAGAATATTACTCAGCCACCAAAAGAATGAAATAATGCCATTTGCAGCAACACGGATGGACCTAGAGATTATCATACTAAGTGAAGTAAGTCAGACAATATCTAATGATATCACTTATATGTGGAATCTAAGAAAAATAAAGATACAAATGAACTTATTTACAAAACAGAAATAGACCCACAGACATAGAAGATAGACTTATGGTTACCGAAGGGAAAAGGGGTTGGGAGGGATAAATTAGGAGTTTGGGATTAACATATATACACTACTATATATAAAATAAACTACAAGGACCTACTGTATAGCACAGGGAACTATACTCAATATTTTGTAATAACCTATAAGGGAAAAGAATCTGAAAAAGAATATATGTATATGTATAACTGAATCACTGTGCTGTATACCTGAAACTAACATAACATTGTAAATCAACTAGACTTCAATGAAAAAAAGATTAAGAAATCTGCCCAACATCACACACCTCCTAGAGATGCTCCTGAAATTCCACCCGAATTTTTTAGAGAGCTTTCCC